GTGCAGGAACTCGTCTACATGTACCGTAGTATCCCCTTAAGTCTTATTGTAGTCACTATAAGTGATGTGAGCCACAACAAACAAAAGCACGCCGTCCATTGTGTGTCTGCGATCTCCAAGTAGTAGAGTAGGAAGGGGGCGCTTGAAGACTTTCAGCAGCTCAGGGATGAATGACTGAGCATCTTCTGATCATCTGATTTAGGTAATAGACTCTGGAGAGCAGGCGATCACAATAAGAGCCTTGTGATCAATGGGCTGTAAGGGAGGGGGGTGACATGACACGCAGACTGCTCAGTGGAAGCCTGCACCTGGGTCTCTCCTTGTCACATCTGATCTGTGGGGGGATTTGTAGAGTCACCAAAGCAGCAACTAGCATGACATCAGCTGAGGGTAGTTTAACTCGCTGAAATATTCATGACATGGCAATAGGAACTGGTTGCTGTTTAAAGTGATCTGCAGCGTCTGCTCCTGTAGTGTGCCAAGGCTTTGGAAAGCTGAGAAGGTGAAGATCTGTGCTGGTATTGTGAGAACTGGGAAGAAGAAGAAGAAGCACACACTGGCTGAATACTAGAAAGTTGTGTGCTGACACTTTGCAGACGCTGATGAGACTCCATCCTGCACCCAGAGCAGCCAGGGCAGAGTGAATGTGAATGTTTTCTTAGGGGTAAAAGGAAGACAGGGTGGGAGGGAGAAGAGGGGGAGCTTGCAGCAGCATCAGCTGGACTGAGGGGGGAATGAAGGATTCCTGTGGCATTCCCGAAGTTGTGCTGTATTGTGGAAGGAATTAATAACCAACGGAGGGGAATATAAGGCAAGGATTTCAACCCTGGAGCATCCATCGGGACCCAGCAAGGCAGATCCTGCTCCAAATTACTGTGCAACTGCTTCCTTGACACCTTAAGGTATAGAGACATTTATTCCTAGCATAATAACTTCTGATTGTTACATTTTCAAATCCAAGACCCATCTCCTCCATCTCATCTACCTGTACTCTTGTGGTACCCATTTCACCCTCTCATGAACCTGGCTTCACCTTTTTTCAACATGAGATTAATCCTTTTTTCGGTGCAAACTTTGTTAAAATCCAGTGCATGTTATGTGCATTTGTAGTTTTGCACAGAATGATTATGTATAGATGTTTCACATTGCCCCATTAGTGGGCATTGAAGCCATGTGCTGCCAGTACCAGCTGCTGACGAGTTTTCGGCATATGTGATAATTTCAAATAATTTTTGGTCTTAGAGGTCTTAGTCATTGAAACAAAAAAAAGGCATCTCATACGTCTATCTTGTTCACCTGATGAAATGAAATACTTTGGAAGTATTTATAATTCTTATCTGAAAATGAGAAGATGGTTAATATAATTATGACTTTTTATTTTTTCATGCTTTATATATCTAATATTTTGCCAATTGTATTGAATATTAATTTACCTACAATGTCTAAGTCTGGTTTTTATTTCGTTCTGTATAAACCAAAATTATACAGGGGACTTTGGCCATAATGCATAGGGAATATCTGCGTATTTACACAGCAAATACGAATGTGTATGTGTAATTGTCATGTAGCTCTTCACAGAGACGTAAAGATCATTGCCTGCGTACTAAACGGCCGTAGGTGTGATATTCATATGTTGGCTTTATTCCTGTCCAACAGCTAAACACGCAAAGGCAACTCATTGTCATTCATCTGATGCTGTTGGAGCAGTCCCAGTGAATCATAGTGTAGTAACAGAATGCTTTGGATTCATATAGACATCCCACACATGAACATTTGCCTCCAGAATATGGTATAATTCACACTGCTGCTTTAAAAATTATCTTTGTAACCCCTTCATTATCAACGACCAGGCTCAGTCTCTACTACCAGGTCAGCAGCCTGGTGGAATATCAGATAGTAGTGACATTTGGCTGTGGCAGTCTTGCTTGTAGTTCCAAAGTTTGGAAGTAGCTGAATTACATTTGGTGGTGGCTGGTAATGGTATATTATTTCCTGTTTTGTAATACTTCTCTCTCTCTCTCTCTCTCTCTCTCCTTTTTGTCTCTCTCTCTCTCTCTCTCTCTCCTTTTTGTCTCTCTCTCTCTCTCCATTTTGTCTCAAGAGTTTAACACCGTGTCAACACAAATGTCAGACTGTATAGCATTCACAGTTTTTTATGAAGCGTAAATTGTTATTTAGCAGCTAATTTATCTTTTGTAACTGTTGCCATTACTGGCTGCTGTGGCCTTCCACTTGTTTCTTTCATGATGGGTGGTTAGATATCTTTAATTAACGCAATAATTAATAAACAAGAATGTCTAATTGTATTATGTATTCTGTGGAAAGTTTATGCTACCTGTGACGTGTGCAAATTGAATAGTCTCCTTCTTCAACAGCACAAATAGGTAAAGTTGTAGAATATCGGTGGACACTACCTCTGAAAAGCCATGTTGAATGTGGCTAAACACACCTTGAAATTTTTCAAGCTTGTAGCCTGTGTATGATTTTGCAGTTGACATTGGAGGGATGTTATAGCCTGCGTGATTTGCTTCACTAGCTGTTCTGAAACAGTGGTACATGTTGGGATATTTGGCTTCAAGGGATATGTTTTGCCTTTTAAAGTAAACTCAGAAAAACAGTTTGAATTTTTACAGTAACAAAAGTGTGATGAGAAAACTGAACGGAATGGGAAAATTCATTTTAAAACATAAAGTCTACTTGGATTACATTTCAATATATCTGGAAGGCACTACAGTCAATTGGAACATTTAGGACTTGAGATAACAATACACAGAGCTAGCTTTGTAAACATTTGATTTTGCATAGTGGAGCATAGTAAAAATGAAATTGAGAGGTGCCCAAGGCAACGCATTACTCCGAAGTGCAGAAATAAGAAACACTTTTAGATTGTTAAGATGTAAGAACAATTTGTTACTTACCTTGTAAATGATTTATACATCTGAGTAACGGATACTCCATTTAATATACTTCTGAGTAATGGACACTATCCTTATTATGATATGTTCACCTTAATGTCCTTTAATATGTTTCATAAACTGCCTATAGTTGTGTGACATTTTCACAGCACTCTCGTATCTGTTGTTGACACACTTAGGGTGACACTAAACTCAGGAGTTAAACCTTAATGCATTCAAGTGCCTTAACTATTAACAAAAATGTATCTTATTTGTGTATTACTCGGCAGTAGAGCCTCAAATCATCTCTGAATTGGTGCTGACACTGTCCTTCCTTCTGGAGAGTGACTACTTTTGTTCTCCATGGTACCTGTGTGTGTTGTAAAGTAGCCAGCGCTCCAAGCTCGCTCCCATGATGGACTACAGTCTCATGTTTTTAGTTGACCAATTTTTTTTTAGATTTTAGCCCATCACAAGAGTGAGCTTGGAGTGGTGGCTACTTTACAACACACACAGGGGCCATGGGGAACAAAAGTAGCCACCCTCCAGAAGGAAGGACAGTGTCGGCACTAATTCAGAGATGATTTGAGGATCTACAGCTGAGTGATGAACAAATAAGATACATTATTGTTAATAGGGTACTTGAATGCATTTTTAAGGTTTAACTCCGGAGTTAAGTGTCATTTTAGTATGTATACATATTTGTTTTTTTAGCCTGCCCATTACTTATCCCTTTCAGAATTCAGCTATAAATCTACCTTGGGACTTTATAAATGTTTTACTTGTTTCCCCAGCCCAACATTCTCTCCTCATTTACAGCAGTGCTCCATATGTTTTTCTGCATGCGAAATGGGTATGTGCAAATAAAAAAGGTGTTCGTTACATCTAGTGGTTTTTTACAGTTTTGTGAAGAACAATTACCGGTTAGAGATTCACAGCTGTCAGTCACAATCTGCAGGTATCTCTTAAACTTTTAATTACCAGTTAGGGAAGGAATATCTTTCTGTCTGTGATGTATCACAGTTCAGAATTTTACTGTATTGATTTCTACTTCTTTCACCTCATAAAGCCTAAAAAAACCTGGCATTTCCTTCTTCATTTGCCTTTGTTTCATTCATCAATCCTGAATAGGGAGTTGGATTGTAAAGATGTTACCCAAAGGTCAGAGACCGGTTTCCTTTGTTAGCCACTTACAGTCTGTTTATATATTGTCACATAGCCTTTATGATCTTTAGGGAACTGCAAGTTTGATACTTGACCAAAACAAACATATAGGAAACTGCACCAAGAGCTAGTTCACCTCAAGCCGCACATAGACCTAGGTTGATTGTCGCTGGTTTCAGTCAGGTTGGGTGAGGACCATTCTGACTTTGGTTAGCAGTATTTTGATACCTTTTTGTTTTTGTTTTGAGAGAGAGTTAATTATCGACTGTGCTGTATTTTTTCATAAAGTTGTTATAGGATAAAGCCACTGCCAGGGATCTGTGGACATTCTCCTCCACAAACCTCCCATGCAAACTTAGCATACTAGTTTATGTAACAGTTGTGAAAAAGTCCCCTATGGAAAGCTTAAAGTGACACTAAACTTAGGAATTAAATCCTAAACATGCATTGAAGTACCTTAACCATTAATAAAAATGTATCTTATTTGTGTATCACTCAGCTGTAGATCCTCAAATCACCTTTGAATTCATGCTGACACTGTCCTTCCTTCTTCTCCGCATGGTCCCTGTGTGTGTTGTAAAGTAGCCACCACTCCAAGCTCACTCCCGTGATGGACTACAATCTCAAAACAAATTAGTAAACTTAACATGAGATTATAGTCCATCATGGGAGTGAGGTTGGAGTGGTGGCTACTTTACAAGACACACAGGGGCCAGGAGGAACAAAAGTAGTCACCCTCCAGAAGGAAGGACAGTGTCGGCACCAATTCAGAGATGATTTGAGAATTTACAGCTGAGTGATACACAAATAAGGAACATTTGTGTTACTAGTTAATGCTGTGTAAAAATGAGACTACAGCTGTGCTGGCTACACAACCCAACATATATGGGTCCAGCATAATTATCGTTGGTGATTTTGTATTGGAGTTAAAACAAAGCATCAAGGTCCAACACCATTACAACGATTAAACTCACAAGCTCTGCTATGCCTGCATCATATTCTGTAATTTGCACATGACAGTCGATAACACAAAACACAAATATTTTAAGACTTTTGTCAGTAGAAGCACTGAGATGCTGTTCTTTGACTCCTTAAGGGAACTGAGTGATACACAAAAAATATACATTTGTGTTAATAGTTAAGGTACTTGAATGTATTTTTAAGATCTAACTCCTGAGTTAATGTCTCTTTAAGAGGTGCCGCTGGTTCTACATTGAACTGTCTCCTATACTGATTTTTAATGGGCCCACCCATCCATAGGAGTAGTATATTTACATGTATTGTCTCTCTGATCTGATAATCCCAAATTGTCCGTTGTATGGAAAGAGACACAAGTTCTTAGCTGTCACTTTTCACTTAGCATTTATCTACATCCTCTGCGTGAGCTGTAGGTTGTTGCTGAACATTAAAAGGTTACAAATGGTAGGAATTTACTGGGCACAAGTGCTAGTCTTTCAAATGTAATGTTGTTTGTTTTAGCTGTGCACTCTATTTTATAGGTAGAGCAAATATGTCAAAATTTCTAGGAGTCAAGCTTGGTAGATAAAACGTATCATTGTTTGTTTTAAATATACCAATGATTTACCCAAATAGAATACATTTCAATACAAGGTAAAGTTTGCATTCCCCTTTTCAGAATGCATGTCCTTGTCTCTGTGGTGTAGGATGCTATTGTGTCAATCGATGTTATGAATGTTTGAATGTATTGAAAAGAGAAAACATGCCGCAGTTAACATTATCATAAAGTGATACATATAGTACTGAATTGCATACAGTGGCATAACAGTAGCTATAGCAATCCATGCAGTTGCTCTGGGGCCTGGGGTAGGAAGGGTCTCTCATGA